TGTGTCTGTGTGTGGTTTTCCTCTTTCTGCAGAAATTTTTAGATGTTTTCTTTATCTGTGATCAGCGTTTCCGTATTGTGTTCTAAAAGTCCACAACAATTTACCTTCTTAACAGCCTCTCTTCATTTATTTGATGGACACTTGTTTTTCACTTTCAATCAGAAACGTGGGTCCTTTGTAAGAAAGACTTAAGAACTATTTTACTATTTTATATCTTCTCTCCTGGAATTTTTTCAGTCAATTATTATATATCTTCGATTCATTTTCTTATTTAAAAAATGGTTTATCTTTTATTTTCCTTCTTTTTATTTATTTCTTTATTAAAGACAATGTCTTGTTATATTGCCCAGGCTGGTCTCTTAATTCTTGGATTCATATGATCCTTTTGCCTCAGCTTCCGTGGATAGCATCTGCAACTATAAGAATGTGACTACACACCTGCTTTACTTCCTATCTTTTTCCTTTCTGCTTTACTTCCTGAAATATCTTCAACATTATCTTTCAATTTATTCTGACTGTTTGCTATCATATTGCTACCCCATAGCTTTGAGCACAACATTTTTGTTTTCATATTTTTATTTTCCAATATTTTTTCTTCAGTCTCCAAAAGTTTCACTGTCACACTGATTTGCTCTTTTTTGGTATAATCAGAAATTACTCTTATTTCTTTGAAGATAATGTAGTGGGGGTTAAAATATTATGCTGAGCGGGACTCTGTGGCATAGACCCATCATTCCATGGCTCATCTCAGCTGTTTGGAGGCTGAGGCAGTTTGAGGTCTCCCAGGGTAACTCAGCAAGACCTGTCTCAAGATAAAATAAAAACAATTGAGGATGTAGCTCAGCAGGAAAGCACTTGCCTAGCAGGCACAAGGAGCTATATCAAATTCCCAGTGATGCGAAAATAAAATGTTACTTGGCTTCCTATGTTGCCTGTTTTTTTCTAAGTCCTTTTTATCTTATGCTTTCATCTTTTTTTCATATTAAATGTTCTCTAATCAGTTTTTAAATGTTGATTTGTAACTCTGTATGTCTACGTGGGATTTACTGATTTATGTTAGGGTGATAATGACTGGTAAATTTAATAGTAGAATAGGATTTCCTTACTTCAGCACTATTGATATTTTGGACTGGCTAATTATTTGCTGGAATATGGAGATGAGCTGTCTGCACACATATTTTGTGAGCTATCTGGTAGCGTCTCTGGCCCCTACTCAACAGTTGTCAGTCAGTAGCGCACCTCTACCCATCTCCCTAATTGTTTTAATCAAAAATTTCTCCAGGAGTCCTGAGTTCAATCCCCAATACTGAAAAGGGGGGGGGGAGGGAGATGGCTCAGTAGAATAAATGCTTCCCTGGCAAGCGCAAGGGCCTGAGTTCAATCCCTGGTTCTGAGAGAGAGAAAAAAAAATTCTCCAGATATTGTCAAACATCCCTGCAGGTATAAAATCAGCCTTACTGAGTAATCATTGCATCACAGTAATCACGGTCTTTAGCATTTCTCTGAGTTTCCTGCTTTATGAGTAAAGAATTTAAATCTGATTAGTAATATTTGGAAGCCAAGCAGCCGAGTACAGCTGGGTATATCACCAGCAACAGAGATAAACTCTTAGTCTCTGTGGTAGGCAGAATAATGGCTTTTCAATGATGTCCACCTTTCCAATGTCAGGTAGCAAAAGAGAATTCAGGTAGATGGAATTAAGGTAGGTAATAAATTGATCTTAAAAGAAATTATCTTGGATTATCCAGTTGTATGATGGGTACAGCAGTGACAGGGTCAGAATAATGGAATGTGAAAAAGACTTAACCACCCATTGTTTGTGCTAAATATAGAAGAGAGCTATGGGCCAAGAAATGCAGACAACCATTAGCACCCATGCTGCCAAAGCGAGCACTGCAGGCAACTATTAGACGCTGGAAAAACGGGGGGCAAAAAGATCTCTAGGGATTTTCTCTCGAGTCTCCACATAGTAACAGCATCTTACTTTCTTCTCACTGAGACACACTATCTGACACATGTAAATTAAGAAAAAGAAGGTTTATTTTGGCTCAGAGTTTGTAGAGATTTCAGTCCATGGCCAGATGGCTCCAAGGGACAGTACGGCAGAGCAGAAGTGGCCCCTGGCATGGCCACAGGGTAGGAGAAAGAGAATGAAGGAAGGAGCAGGAAAGAGATGAACCCTTCAGGTGACCTCCCCAGTGACCGGCCTCTTCCAACCAGATCTACCTCCTCACAGCACTCAGCTTTACCCCTGCATTCATGAGGCTTTGAAGGGCTTTTTTTTTTTTAAATGTATTTATTACAGGGTCTACAGGGTCTACAGGGTCTCACTACACAGATCAGACTCATAGTGATCCTCCTGTTTTCAGCCTCCCATGTGTGGGGATTACAGTCTCAGTGCACTCCAGGGGCGGGGCCAGCACGGCAAACTGGTAATAGAACTCCAGTCCCTGTGTCTGCCTAAACTGGTGCTTTAATCCCCTGAGCTATCTGACTGGCCTGGGAGTCTTTTTTTTTTTTTTTTTTTTTATCTAACCATAATACAGAAGTTCATTAATACCCAGACCTTATAGTTCATAGGACCTATTCTGGACTTATAACCTCCAGAAGTGTCAATTGCATTTGTATTAAGCCACTAAGTTTTGAGTAATGTTTTACAGGAGACAGGAAAATAGCGTAGTCTCTTTGATTTCAGTGTGAAACTACCATGCATCTCTACCGTGCATTTACAAATCCAGGACCAATCTGGGATAATTTCCTATGCCATGAATCAACAAGCCCTTCTTTTCTTTTTTCAAGGCTGAATAAGGGGTAGTTTCCATGCTTAGAGAAGAAACCTACAGAAAAAACTGCTTAAGAACATGTTTTCTAACCAACTCTATTCCAACCCCATCCCACTCCCCAAGACTATAGGTTATTTGTTACTCTATTTCCTGAAGTTTTCAGACATTCTGAAGCAGAGACTGCCTTGCTTTTATTGTGGCAAGACTGTAGTTACACTTCTCGATTCACTGTTCATCCTCATTCTTTCTTCAAAAAATTTATAGACATCATTCACTGTGTCATTCTTTTCATCCTTAAGATCTGTGGTGTTTTGGCTTTTCTCTGTCATTTTAATAGGATTTTGAGAATAATGAAAATGAATTCTTATGCTGGACTACCATATTTAACTGTATTTACTTTTGGCTAACATTTTATAGAGCCTTTACTGTGCACTATATTTGATTGTAACCCTCAGGCTGTGTAAATCTTATAATAACTCTGAGGGAACTAGTGTTTTGATGTCCATTTTATAAATAAAATTAATGCTTGATTCAGGTGACAATGCTAGCATAAACCAGAACTTGGACAGAACCCTTGTCCTTTTCACTCCAAAGCTCATTTTTGAAATGAATTATGCACTCTTGTTAAGATTCAACAAATAGTGGCTGTTTCTATTTTATAAAATTTTACAGGAACATGGTTACCCTTATTCATTGATGTTGTCTAAGTCTGCTTTTGTGCTACAGTGCTATAACTGGATAGCTAAAACAAAGACAACCTGGCTTTCAAACTCTAAGAGTCTCTAACCTGTATATCCAAATGTGACGACCTTTACTGCAGAAAGTAACCTAATTACCAAGCTTTGAGTAACGATGTTTTCAAACATTTAACATTTTATTACTATACCAAATCAAAGATACACATTTTGGTTTTTTTTCAACTTTTTGTTATTCTACAGGCAGCAATCTTTGGCCATATGAAAAAAAAAGTCTTCATGAAGTTTCCCCTTTATTATAATCATGCTTGCTCTCTTTTTTGGACTTCTACCTCATAATTATAGTCTTTAATGCAGTTGAATTCACATAATAGTTATCAGTTGTGGTTCCCCAGGGATCTAATAAGCGCTGACTCTAAGTAGATATTTACTTAACAAACACTTTACTAAGTATTTTATAAGTGTCAGTTAACATTCTTCACCCTGAAGATCCAAAAAAGAATAACCTTGCTAGATGTGCTTAATTAGAAACTATAACATCACTCTCATTATCTAAATGTCCTTATTTTTATTTTTAAGATAATACAAAGTAGTATTAATGTGTCTTTTTCAAAACCCTTGTGAACCCTGTACTTGGCACCATTCTTGGCACAAAGTAGGCATCAGTAATTTGTGTAGAAGCATTGACTGTCCAAGTAACCCCTCTCTAGTTTGTCCCTAGGTATGTAGAAGGAATTTTTCCAATGTTAGACTGGAATGGAATGAGGATCATTTGAGAACAAGGAAGATACACACCCAGGTGATGTTTGGTCAACTTATACCTTCTGTCCCTCTAGAAATGCTTCCTTCTAGCTCTCATGACAACTACCCTTGTGGGGACTACTAATCTCTCTCCTCAAGGCTAAGCTATAACAAGCAAAACCAAATGGACTAGGGGAAAAGGTCAGGCATTATGGGATTCATCTTCATTGCAGATAATCTATTTCTAGAGGCTTTAGTCGACACAGAGCCCTAAAATACATTTTAAAAAGGATTACCTACCTCTGAGAATAATAGACCACTTACTTATATACATCTCCCAGGAGAGACTTGTAACAATGGACTCCTGCTAAACCTGACACAGATCTACTCCTCCCACTAGAACTCTGAATTATTTTGCTGGAGGCTACAACATTCTGAGTAGTTTGTTGGGAGTTGACTGGAGGTGGGGATAACTCACTCAGTACAAGCTTAGCAGAGCTGAGCCGCTGCAGCATGTTAGGCTAGCCTTTGATGGAGACTGGTAGGACAGGTTCTGGATCTACAGAAGAACCGGTTTGACTGGCCTGTTATGCCAACATATTCTGGTTTGATTCCATGTTCCACAGACGGTAAAAACCTGCCCAGCCAGTTAAATGAAAGGCATATTAGGTTATCCATTGCACACAGTATATAGCTTAGATGCAGCAGAACTCTTTCACATAGCAGTAGTGTCTAGCAAACTCTAGTGTGGTCCAGAGAGGTGACATCCACTGATTTAACATTTATGCTCACAGCTGCTGGGACAGGGAGGAGTAAAACACCTGCTTTTGACCAAGAGCAGAGATTTACTAAATCAATTGAATGGTAAGTTGATATATTTTATATATTTCTCAATTTTCTATGCATTTTTAAAGGTTAATTAAATGTTGGAGAAGATATCCATTTTTAATGTCAATACCTGCATTATAACTTTCCTGTAAAACTGGATATTGTCTTATATAAAAATTGCATGTATGCTTATTGATTTGCTTGGGTAAAGCTATCTGGTACACAAAGCTATCTGTTATGCCTTTTTGAAAATTGTTTATGTGTATTATTATTTAAAAAGCTGGGATGAATAATTTTGCTAAATATATTTATTTCAGATACTAATGATTCATCTTAAGGCTTCTATTTCTTTGATAATATACTATCATGTTCTACAGACTGTTGTTATATGGTAACAATTTTACATGGTCAGTTTAATTGTGGATAAAAAAATAATTGCCTTTTTAAGGCAAAAGAAAAAAGGATTGGCCTGCTTGGTGATCCCAAGTATATTACAGGAACAATTCACAGCAAGAATTAAGGAGTGTGAAAAACACAGATTGTGGAATCTGGTAACTGATTAACTATTAGAGTTCAAAAGCACTTGCTGAGCTGAATAGAAAGGAATGAAGACAGGTTTTGTCATGCCTCTTAGGTCTGAAAAACTTAACACTTAGATCTTCCTTTCACTTATATTTTAAAATATTTATTTGTACTTCTTTCATTGATCCAACTAATATATGGTAGTAGTTCATGTCATTTAAAATGAAAGTTACCAGTCTCTTTAGATTTATTTCAACATAACAAATTACCTCTTATCAACATTAGAATTGAATGTACATAAAACATTTAAATACAGTTGACATGAATTTATAGAATTTTGAAATTTTTAAACAAATTTACATTGAATAGTTTTCTGTCAAAAACAACCTGTAAGTCATCTTGACAGAAACTTTGCCTTGAACTAAGTAAGAATGATGCATCTTTTTCTCTAGTGCCCCCACTTTGTCACTATGTTCATACTCAACAACTACAATGTTTCTTTAGGATGTTAATAAAGTAAAAAGAAGAAATGGAAATAAATGTTCAGGTGAGACTTCACGGGTTGCACAGGAATCCTTTGGATGTTTCTTCATCCTATTTCGAGTTCTGGATAAAATTTAATAATTCAGCTTAACTACTGTAAAACAATGTATCTGCAAAAGGAATATGCTAATTGAGCAAATCAACATTACTTTTATCCAGCACACATTATACTATGACAAGCTTTTGGTAATATGGGTCATGTAATAGGATGAATTTTTCTTTTTTCAATTAGTTTTCAGGTAAGATAAAGATACATATTAATTGAGCACACTGTTGATGTTTCTCTTGGATACATTATATATAGTAATTGAATTTTAAACCACACTCTTTAAAATACACTGCTCATTGTTTAAAGATAAACTTAATTTATTCAGTTTTTTGCATACTGTTTTAGGGAAACAACTTAGGAGCCAAACATCTATTTCATTTAAGTCTATTGGTAAAATTTCAAGCTTAAATCCACATTTTGGAGGAGATTCTACAGTTTTCACTTAATGAGATTCATTTTCAAATATACATTAAGTTCTAACAAATAACTTTTATGTATTTTCTGTAAATATATTTCTTTAAAATATTGATACATTGTGATGTATTGATTAAATTCAGGTTATATGATTTTTTAAATTGAAATTAGGATGCATTTCTTCTCACTAATCCTAGACAATTTCACATAACTGCTTTTGTCAGCACGTTAGCTTCAACAACTTGTTCTTTCTTTCCTAAATACTTTTGTCTGTTTCTTACCAAAAGTACTGAAAATCATGATGTTTTCAGGTAAAGGACTCTTGTATAACTAGTGAACTTAATACTTCACTTTTGAGTTGAGAAATGAAAAGCCCCCAAAATGTAACTAAATCACTACTATGTAATGCAAGGGTAGCACTGGGACAAAAACATCCAGGTTTCTTGAATACCAGCCCAGACTAGTAATTTTGCCACTACCCTACAATGACTACTACACAAAATCAATGTTTTCTGGAGCATTTGTAAGCAGCTAAAATTTTATTATATAGTAATATTAATGAATCATTGGTGAACTAAGAAATTATTTACTTTCACATTTTGATTCATATCGTTAATGCCACCAAACATTTTGCATATTGTGGCTGAATTTACAGGTAATTTAAATTATGCCATTGATAATAAAGGTGGCTGCCATGTCAAAGCTCTTAATGTAGTTATACAATTTTTGCTCAAACTGATGAGAGCCTCCTATCAATTCTTTTTTTCTTTTCTTTTCCTTCTTTCCTTCCTTCTTTCCTCTCTGTGTCTCTGTCTCT